GTGTGCTGAAGGTTCACACATCACTCACACACTCATTTATACATTTAGTAATAGAAACATGGAGAACATAGATTTTGAACTTGCTTCATCAAATGTTTAGATTTATGTTCTGGAAATGTTTGAAGATTAGGACATATTAATAAGATAATGCCTCATTTGCATTTTACAAACATAAAACTTACAAAACTAGTCTTCATGAAAGTAATCAAACGATGAAGTTTCATGGTGATATTATTTAAAATGACACACGTTCTTCTGTTTCTGTGTTTCTTGTGAACTTTATGCATCAAAACACGAAAGCATTTTACTACGATGAACCTCTTTGTTTGTCTCTCTCACAGGACGCCATCTTCAAATATAACCCCAAATATAAAGACCAGTGGTCCTTTGAGGCGCTCTCCAGCTTTGTGAAGGTCAGAGGTCGTGTCTTTAAATCATTCCGTCATCACTTCTAGGTTTTAAACGATAAGAAATATAATTATTTTATTTCCAGATTGTCCCGAAAGCAGAAAACCATTTCCCCAAACTGTTTCCAAAGATGGCGGCGTTGGCTTTGAGTCTCCCTGACTATGTGAAGAAGGTATGAAAGCTGCGTTCTAATAATTCATTAAAACATTAAAACTGAATATTAATTCATCATTAATCATCTGTTTGGGGTGAAACACTGAATTTGCCCCTTAAAGACAAATAGGCACATTTAAAATACAAATCCCATAAAATATAATATTTTAAAGGTTGTTTCATGCTAAATATAAAATGATATTTCATAATTATTTCAGGCCATCCCGCTGCTTAAGAGGGGCCACTCTGCGTCCATCACTCTGTCACAAGTTCAGATCTCCTGCCTCCTCGCCAACGCTTTCTTCTGCACCTTCCCTCACCGCAACGCGACCACCTCCAACGCCGAGTACCACAGCTTTCCCTCCATCAACTTCACCAAGTCAGAGCATGAACGTCAGACACAACCTCCGAAATACTGTTAGATAATTAAATAATCCTCCGTGTGTTCACTCTCCACTGCCACTCTGACTCCAGGCTGCTGGAAAACTGGTCCGAACGCAAGAAAGAGAAGCTGAGAGCCGTCCTGCATTACTTCAGCGTGGTCACAGGTGATCCTCCTCCTCCTCCTCCTCCTCCTCCTCCTCCTCGAGATGAAGGTCTGTGACTGTGTGACTGTTTGTGTTCTCTGCAGACACAAAACCAAGAGGACTGGTGACGTTTGAGAGGCGCTGCCTCACGGATATGCCCAACTGGAGAACGTAATGATAATAATAATACAAAACTTTTCAGTGGACCGCTATGGGACCTTATTGTGGGAAAAACATGTACGATAGTCAAAGACGAGAGACGGATAATGATTTGATCCCGTTTGACTTGTGCCATAAATCAGACATTATGGTGTCAAGAACGTCACGTATGTGTCGTACAACTGTTGAATCATCAGGCTGTGAGAATACGTCTTCAAAAGACGACACACCCGAAAGTCTCTTAGTACCAGGATGTTCTCACACCAACAACGAGGTCTAAAACACACCAGCGTGTGAGCACAGGAAGGGGCGGGACTTCCACATCTATTGGCTAGCATTGCTAATATAAACGGCTAATCTGTATCAGAAGCACACAAGTGTAGAATCGAACTCCTCTTTCTTTTGTGGCAGCTGTAAAGAGACGATGCGTAAACTTCACGTCACGTCACGCGGAACCATCGAGACCGAAGGGACCGGTTTACTCCAGGTGAGAACCGACAGAACCCAGCTGTACCAGTCCACAGATATAGTTTTTACACTGTTCCTCTGTGTGTGTGTGTGTGTGTGTGCGGGCGCGCGCAGGTGGACTTTGCCTGCAGCTGGATCGGTGGAGGGGTTCTAGGTTCTGGTCTGGTGCAGGAGGAGATCCTGTTCCTCATGAATCCAGAGCTGATCGTGTCTCGACTCTTCACCGAGAAACTCGCTGACAACGAGTGTCTGATCGTTACAGGTAGACGTGATCGGTGCAGTAACGGGTTCATTACTGCTGATCAGCAGACATTTAAATGATACTTTAATCTTCCTTACATCCACAGTTGTGGATTAATCTGCCGATGAAAATAGTCCCGAACAAATGCACAATTCAGATGTTTTGTTCTTTCTATAAAATGTCAGATGGAAGTTAAGTTCTGTTTACAAACGGACGACTTCGATCAATGTCGTGGTGGATTCATGTCTCTGGTTGAAGCTTCTCTAATGTGAGAATGTTCCACTTCTCTGTTTTATATAATCGTAAATTGTCTTTATATTGTAGAGTGTTGGACAAAATATTCATTTATATATATTTATATATATTTTATTTGCACACATTTATGACTCCATGAAAATCCAGGTCATGAACCAAATAGAAACGTGAGGAATGAAGCCACAGAGCTCCTCTCAACTTATACAGAACAAACCCCCAAAAGAGGAAATAAACAAATCTAATTCAACTCGAAAAATACAACAAAAAGTGACAAGACCACAACAAAATAAGTAGAAAAAACAACCAATTGGTAAAAAAAACTATCTAATAAATACAGAAAAAACAACACTTGAGTTAGGAAAATAAAAGTATAAAATATAATAAAGCTCTAGTTTTATATGAATGAATTTGGGAATTCAATTTGTGAGAGAATTTGTGGATTTTCTGACATTTTATAGAATATGATGAATTGTTTAATCAGTAAAATAATCTTATCATACTGTTTAAAAAAGAAACTATTTGTGTTTTTAAATATTTACTGAGGAAGCAATGAGCAGTGAGTCTCAGACAGGAAGTCCTGATGGTTCCTCTGCTCCTCTGTCTTCAGGCTCTCAACAGTTCAGCCGGTACTCGGGTTTCGGGGACAGCTTCGAGTGGGCCGGCCCTCATGAGGAGCGCCTGCACAGGTACGACTGCTCTCTCCGTCTCTCATACGTCCGAGTGTGTTTCTCATCATCGTCCGTCCTCACAGAGACGAGTGGGCTCGGCTGAAGAGGCGGATCTTAGCCATCGACGCCGTGCACTTCAAACAGAGCAGAGACCAGTACAACATGATCGCCATCACACGGGACCTCAACAAGGTGACTCATCCTTATTCATATATCTACATGTCAAACTCACCAGAGGAGCCCGCTCACTGAAGAACACACACTTTAAATGTCACCGCGTGTAAAACTATCTTCTCAATGATTCAGGATAGAAATGATCTTCAGTCGCACTATTATATTAAAAATCATCCCTCTTTCGTGGTCGGAGTAACGAGGTCAATACTTATGAACTGGATTTGTCATTTTTAAAAGGACGAGTCTGGTTTTCATTCTGTATTTAACTTATTGACATCAAATCTCACATTCAGACTCTGTACCGTCTTTATTTAGTGGTTGTCATTTTCACGTGATTCTTCTGGTGTCCCTGAAGGCATTCTGTGGATTTAAGGGTCGCGACCACGACGAGCCCGACATCGCTACGGGGAAGTGGGGCTGCGGAGCGTTCAACGGAGACCCTCAGCTCAAAGGTGCGTCAACACTCCGCTGATTTATTGTTGTATGATCGAGACTCCTTGAGGCTTGAGCTGTTTCCCCTCCGACGTGCAGCTGTGATCCAGCTGATGGCGGCGGCGAGGGCCAAGAGAGGATTGGCCTTCTTCACCTTCGAGGATGAGCAGCTGAAGCTGGGTCTGGAGCGCACGCACCACCTGCTGGTCACCGAGAGAACGACAGTCGGTGAGATTTTCAGGACACGAGACGGCTTTGAAATGTTCGCTTGCTAGTTTCTGACTTTGCTCTCCGTCTCAGGGAAACTGTACGGACTCCTGGAGGACTACTGTGCTGTTGAGCAGGAGTCCGGCAGGTCACATGTGGACCTGTTCCAGTTCATCGGGCACAACGTCAGACCCTCCAAGAGTCAGCTGTGAGGACGGAGTCAAGTCCACGAGTCTGCGTCTGAATTTGCACTAAAATCGAACCGGTGTGTTTCACTACAGAAATGAAGAAGTTGCTGCTTCATTTGAATGATTGTAAGATGATTTTCATTTTTGCATTTGTACGTTAATTTGATAGTTGAGAGCGTAGCGATAAACAGGAAATGTGACGAAGGATCAAGTTTGTTTTTCATTTTATTTAGTTTTTGTGCTTTGATTATTTCCCCGAGGTTAACTCCTAACTGACCGAGTTCTCCTCAAAATAAACTCCAAAGAATTTAGTCTTAGAGAAGATTAATGCAGCGTTTAACAGCTCACAAGCTGCTGCTGAGTGTTTGGAAAAACACTTTAAAATAACTTTTAAAGGCGTTTTAATGGCGGCGAGTTAAAGGCTCAATTAGTATTATTTGTAAACACAACATTCAAAGTTGGACAAAAGATAATAGACGGAAACCTCTGATTCTGAAGAGTGAAGTCAAAGCTTCATGTGTTAAAGCTGCATTCTCTCTAGTGTCCACCAGGGGGCGACTCCTCTGGTTGTATAGAAGTCTATGAGAAAATGACTCTACTTCTCTCTTGATTTATTACCTCAGTAAACATTGTAAACATGAGTTTATGGTCTCAATCTCTAGTTTCAAGTCTTCTTCAACACAGCATGATGTTCATACATGTTCTACATCACTCCTCCACAGTCTATATATGGTCACTTCCTGTTCACTGGTTGCAAAAACAAAAAGATGGCGACGACCAAATTGCCGAACTTGAAGCTTTAAAACGACCACAAACCAACTTGTCCTCATATTCAGTCTGCGGTTGATGCCCAGAAACGTCCCGAACACACGGCGACGTTAAAAGATCCAGGTAGACTAATTATTTTAGTTTGAGTCCAAACATTAGTTTATTTTTGCCTAAAGCTCAACAAGTTAAAATGAAGACTGACTTGTTGTTGTTTGATTATAAATCTTTACTGCAGCAGCTGACAGGTTGTGAGCAGCTGATTCCTCTAACGTCTCTCACACTGAGCATTAAAAGCTTTGTGCAGAACCTTCAGGGTCTTTAGAATTATGGTAATATTGTGTTTAAATCTTCACTGAAAACATCTGTTAACAGGAAACCTGCTGCTGAAGCTTCCTGTTGAGTGAACTGTAATCATTCAAAGTCTAATAAACAGCCTGAGCTACAGTTGTGATTTATAAACACTTCACAGCTTCTCTGCTGCTTTAATGCTGAAATAAATGTCAGATTATTGCTGATGAAAGAGTCACAGAGGACCGACGGGAACATCTCACAGATTTAACGGTTAAATAAAAGAAGTTGAGCTTACTGGAGGAGTTGACGTCTCTTCAGAAGGAGCTGAGGGTCCACAGGAGGGGAGGCTGGTGTCTGATCTGCAGCATGATTAATGGGAAGCAGGTGAGTGTGTGTGTGTGTGGTGGGGGGACGGGGACGTCTGAGGACATCTGGTGGACAGGTAGAGAATTACAATGGAGGGAGGGCAGTGGAGGAAAAAGTACTAGGAGTTAAAGTACCAGAGTATGAACATAGAAATACAAGTACTGACTATGCAGAATGATAGTAAATGTCTCCTCCAACAGTGGAGGAAGCAGATCTTTCTCTTAGAAGTACGAATACCACTGTGTTCAAATAACTGTTGGATTAAAACTCGTATTAAAGTACCAAAGTATCAGCATCAGGATATACTTTAAGTAACACAAGTGAAAGTACTCATTAACGTAGTAAACGTCTCCTCCAGCTCTACCAGAAACAACTTTAACACCAGTGGTGCAAGAAGTACTCAGATCTTTTACTTCAAAGTAGTAATACCACAGTGTATAAATACTATGTTGAAGGTAAAAGTATGCATTCCAAAGTATCAGCATCAGGATATACTTTAAGTTACAAAAGTTAAAGTATTCATTTTGCAGAAAATACTATATATTGTATTATAATTATTGATGCAATAATGTGCTGCTAGGTAGTATAATCTATAATAATACATCATAATATATTAGTTGATTATATTTTATATTGTAAAATGTAACCTGCAACAGAACTTAAGTTATTAAATACATGTAGTGCAGTAAAAATTACAATATTTCCGTCTGAGATGTAGAAGTATAAAGTAGCAGCAAATGGAAAGTACTTGTACTTAAGAACAGTAGTACCTCAAACAGACAAGAAAACAAACTGTTCACCAGGAACTACAATCTTTATTTATCCAAAACATACAACACTTTATGAACATAAATACATCCTTCAGCTGCGCCTCAGAAGTCTCCTTCGTTCCAGACGTGACGTCGTTACGTAATACAGGATGAAGGCCGGAGGAAGAGGAGGAGCAAATAAATAGAGGTGTGATGAAGATAAGCTGCATGTTGACGTCTGTTTCTTTACTCTTTGACTGAATAAAAGATTTTAATTCATGTTAATATTTGGAGGACTGACTCACGAACATAATAAAATATCGTGAACCTCGGCTCAATCATTTCAAATAATCACAAAAAATTATATCGCAGACAAATCAATTCCAGTTTAAAGGACCAGTTTCACATTCTGGGTGAAATGCACCAATTTGCTTTCACGGCTAAATATGCAGCTAGTTAGCTTAGCTTAGCATAAAGCTAGCCTGACACGTAACCCCGTTAAAAGCATAAAGTGTCATTTTTACACTTTAGGATTTCAACGGATTCATTAAAAAAAGTGAGTTTTTGAGTTTCCGTTTCGTCTTTATGCTAAGCTAAGCTAACGGACTGATAACAGTGATGTCGATCTCAGCCAACTCTTGGCAAGAATACCCTTATTTTCCATCAGACTATTGAAAAATAAATATGTGCATCCGTGACTACGTTTACATGCACGAGAGGATTCAGAATATGACGTTTGAACCATATTAAATTCAGAATATCATCATATTCTGAATAACAGTGGAGTATTAGTGGGCATGTAAACGTAGTCAAGGTTTCCTCTGATTGTCTTTTAACTAAAATACATTTCTAGGAAATTCTACCGCGGATCAATAAATGATTCAAACGTGTGTTGAGCAGGTGATTTTGGTAGATTCTGGATGTGCATCATCATTATTATTATTATCATCATGACATTATTTTGAAATGAAAGCAAAGCTAAAATGAAGATAAAAGTCTCATTATTAAATTACATTTTGTATAAATTGCTACATTTAATGCAGGTGAAACTTAACAGCAGCGACCATCTCTGTGAACACGCGGACGTCACGGTAACAGTGTTATTTTCATTGTGCGTCGTTTTATACGATGTGTAAATGAAAAACACGAGTAGGTGTGAAACCTGCGGCTACACTTTCCCTGAGAACGCCTCCACATCGAAGGCCGTGTCCAGTAAACGCTGCAGCTCCGCCAGGTGAGTCGGTTTGTTCCCGGTAGCTGGAGCGGCTGCAGGGTCACGACCGGCATACCTTCACACACACACACACACACACACACACACACACACACACACACAGGAATAACATGTATAATAACATGTATATATATACACATACTGTATGTTCTAATGTTTGTTTTCTGGACTCACCAGACGGGCCGCGTGTGGCCGATGGTGGTGCGGAGGCGGGGCTTGACGTAGTCGTAGTAGCCCTGGTTCTTGTGCTCTTCCTGGCACCAGACCAGGTCAGCGTTCAGGTATCGATCCGTCTCCGCTTTCACCAGATCGAACGGGAACGGTGAGAGCTGAGAGGACGGAGACAAACATGACGTCAGGAATGCTTCTGTTTGAGATGTAACAGCTTGAAGCTCACATGACTTGCTCTCCCTTGTTCTCCCTTGTTCTGGTCTTTATTGAAGATGTTTTAAACCTCCAGAACACTGAACCTCTTCTCTCACCTGTTCCACGCGGACCACGGCCACATCCTGGTCCAGGCCTCTGTTCCTGCGCTCTCTGATCAGCTCGTAGTAGATCTTTCCGGAGCAGAAAACGACTCTCTTCACCTTCTCTGGGTCGGCGGCTGCAGCGCCGTCGTCTGGGATCAAACGCTTGAAGTGAGTCGCTGCAGAGAAACAAACACGACAAAGTGTCAGCGACACAACGAGAGAGCGACCGGTGTTTGAGAGGAGAAGAGCTTCACGACGTCTCTACCTGGAAGCATGTCGTCAAAGCTGGACTTGGCCTCCGGGTGGCGCAGCAGCGACTTGGGAGTGAACACGATCAGCTGAGGAGACAAGGAAACGAGCTCAGTGTCCTTGAAGCGCATCACGTGAAGCTTTGATTGCTCTCCTCTTTACTCACGGGCTTCCTGAAGGGCTGCAGGATCTGTCTGCGGAGGACGTGGAAGTAGTTTGCGGGAGTCGAGCAGTTGACGACGATCCAGTTACAGTCGTACAGCTGACGCACCGAAAAGTCCTCCGACAGTTTCTGACAAAACACAAAGAAGTACTTTAGGGAACGACACAACTACACAAAACAAGAAAACTTTATTGTCCAGCAGCTCACCGAACAGAAACAAACACAGGAAAAGTAAAAACAAATACAAATACTTAAAGCATGTTCATGCATCCTGGCTGTCTGATGTCTGGTCGCAGAAGAATAAGACGGATGAAAGCAGCAGGAGGACTGTTGAGTCTTCACAGAGACTTGGATCCATGGTGGACCAGGATCAAGCTGCACTTGATGGGCGGACATCAGGACAGAGATCAGGACTCTGGTGGACCAGAGGAGGTGGACTCTGTGGTTCTGATTACTTTTTAATGGAGAAACGCTTTCTTCATTGTCCTCTCTGCACATTTTTGTGGTTCGCCGACTATTTTTCCTGCTATTGACTCGATGCTAGAAAGTTTATTCTGAGATCTACGGTTTCTATAACGCTCTGTAGGATGTAAACAGGAAGTACCGTGTTCAGTGGGTTAAACCGTTTCTTTATGTTCTTCACATTTTGCCAGATTGTAAATGGGCTGAATGAGCTTTTAGCAGCTCCTGTCTGCACTGGATTACTTTGATACTGAAGAAAACTCGATGCTTCTCATCATCATGCTCAGTAAACTCATATCTGACGACTGAATTATCTACATTTTGCAATTTCTGCGTCATAGAAACTCATGGTTTTTTGGGTTACAAGCAGTTTCTGTTTGGCACCGTGCAGACAAACAATCACCTGGATTAATAAAAGTATGATGAACGTGAGCAGAATAAGTTAGAAGGAGCCAGAAACCTCAACGTTTCTGACACAAACTCACGGGGAAAACATCAGGATCGTCGTTGCACATCTGCAGAAACCTTTCAGGGCGAGCAGACGAGTGCTCCGGACCCTGAGAGAGAGAGAGAGAGAGAGAGAGAGAGAGAGAGAGAGAGAGAGAG